TCCCTCGCGTGCAATCCAATTAGCAACTCGTCATAATGTCGGTTTTCTTTTTTTTTATGTAGTCTATCGATTTCGTGGCTGCAAAACGCTGCGTGGGCGGTGTATGATGTGCTATGTTATATAATGGCCCTGCGTAGGTTGAGATTTTCCTCTGGGTGTTTTTCCTTTCGCACCACAAAACCCAAACTTTGCTGGCTGCGCACGTTTCCAGCTGGAGGAGGACACACACGTTTTCACGTTTTTTTTTTTTTTTTTGGATAGGCCAACCTATTGATTTTTGGCCTAGCTGACCCCGCACACAGAAATTCACTTTAATCACTGGAGTTCATATGCTGGCCAGTTGCATCACGTGTTGTTCGCTTGAGCGACTGCCTCCAAAGCCACTGCCTTGTCCCTTCTTTTTTTTATGAATTTAAAGGAGTTTTATGCAATTTATCTACAATTATTTGTTAACTATTGAGCAGTGCTATTTTGTTGGCAATTATATTTTTCCCTTCGAGTTACTGGCAGCTGGTGGCTCGTGACCCAAGGCTTCTGCTCCTCACTGGCGACTGCATTCGGCTCGGCTCCGTGTGGGTCTCCGGGTCTCTAAGTCTCCGGGTTTTGCAGCTCTCCAGCTCTCCGGATTTTCTCCTCACTGACCGCCGACAACATGCCACATATCGTGGCGGGTCGGTCTCGTGAATTTTTCTGCTCTCGCTTTTTGGCACACAAAATCTCGGCTCTGCGCGCGCACTTTTATTGCAAAATCAATAGTTCCGCATTCACATATTGCTGAAAAGAGCAGGCATCCCCAATCCCCAATCCTTACTCCCTATCCTTCACCCCCGCCCACGCTCGCCAAGCTGGCTCCAATCGGTGCCCATTCCCAGCGAGCGTTTCCCATTGATTAAGTCGGCCTCCACATGGCCAAGAGTGCAAGTGCACCGAGTGCCATGTGCGGAGGCTTTGTGTTTGCTCCAGTTATGCTCAACCGCTCATCACGTTCCGTATATTAATATGCTCATACGATAACTTTAGTTATAAATACAATGCATATGCATCAAAGTAGTACAAATTAAAACTATTAATGCGATTGATATATGAAAGTAGTTGAATCATTTTACGGTTTTAACTTATATACTATGAAAATTAAAGCAATTTTAAATTGTAATTAAATCAAAATTCAACCAGAACAAAGTCTAAGTCTAGGACCTATTAACATGCTTGCTCTTAAAATGTAACACAAATCTTAACGAAAAATTGCAACTGAGTATATCCAAGTATATAGTTTATCGACGTATTCTATGAAAAAAATAAAATTACATTAAATGGCATTTAAAAATTTAGGAAGAGCATACATTACTATTCGATCAATGATAGGTTTTATAAATTTATAAAATAAAAGTTTAGCGTTTTTTTTTATAACAAAAACAGAAAAGAGGTGGTTGGGAAAAAATATGAGTATAATAACTGAATTCTTATCTCAAACGGGTACTACACATTATTACTCATGTTTTTGCACAAGCCGAACGTCTTTTTTTTGCTATTGTAAGCATTTTGTTGTAAACAATTTTGTTGCTCGTTAAAATATCAATAAATATAAATGACTGCCATTTAATATGTTTTGAAGTGTAAAAAGTCATACTGCAGAAAATTCACAAACAAAGTTTATTTTTGTTAAAATGTAGCTATACAAAAATGTACTCACAAATTATACTTTTTGTAGACTGTAGCAAAGTCGATAAAAAAAATGTCTACCGATTATATGCAAATATAAACACGAGATATACTAATATTTAATATCACGAAAACTATGATAAGCAAACAGCTAGCTTTTGATCACTAAAAATAAACCAATAAAAATACAGTAAACGCATTAATTTGTCTATATTTGCCAATAACTAAATCACAAATACAATGACTGATTAGTAAAATTACCTACAAAACGGAAAACAATAATCTCTTCAACTACTTTGAATATATATTGTAATACAAGAATCGCTTATGTGGCAAGTCTGAAGAATGTTCAATTACAAAATCTGATTCACAGGTTTGTACATAAATGTTTAGAGAATAAGAACATGGCTAATACTTTGCAAAAAACAATAATGAACAAAGCAATAGGTAAAGAAGTTTGATACGGTGTTCAAAGTGGGGAGTTTACAATATCAATAGATTAATGTTGTTAGTTGGCAAATAGTAGGGCGTATCTGGATATCGGCTATCCCGTCCTTATCAACATGCCAGTTTTAAAGTACAAATGTAGATTAGCAAAGCTTTTGTTTCCGTGTAATATCCGAACTGAGTGATGTGGCTGCGGATCCGGAGAAGATGCCTCCTCCGCCAGAGATTAGCTACGAGGGGTGCTCCCAGTTGGGATTCCCTTATCCATCCTTGATGGGATTTCCCCAGGACGAGGCGATGATCCTGATGGTCTTGCCATCGAGCTTTGGTCCCAGTAGTGGATTCAGTTGCGCCAAATAGCAGCAGAGCCAGAAAAGCCAGCAAACGACGGCGGTCAGCAGGAAAATGCAGCGCACCAGGTCATCCTGCGGTCCCTTGGTCACCAGGATCGGTCCGAACTTGGCCACCGCCGCCCAGAAGACGGTGAAAAAGATGATCATCAGGATGACTTCCATGGCAGCGCCTATTTTTTGCTTTACTTTCTTTTTGCGTCTAGTTAAACTCTGCTTTTATTAATCATCTGTGGCAATCAGTGCTGCCACTTTAGCAATTTACTTGCTAGATCTGGCAGCTTTAAATTTCATTTCTCTTTTTTTTAATGTTATTAGTTGATTGCAGTGAACAACTTGAAATTGTTTAGGTTAAATTGCCTAACATTTATAAGCAAAATAACTGGAAATTAAACAACTGTCTCACACCAAACTTTTTTTTCAAATCTAGCTATTTTTGCTTCGGGAATTCTGGCAGCGCCGACTTTCTCAAGAGAAATGCACTAACGCGTTTCACCAAAATCAACGCGCTGCACAGCACTAGCACACACTGTCAATTATTTTCAGCACTGGGCAACTGTTGGTTTGGCGGCTTAATTTTATTGCTTAAATTTTTTTTAACGCTATTTAATACGTGGTCTTAGTGTTCTTTTTCATAATTATATTTAAAGGTGTGAAATGGCTTTAGATTCAACATGCATAATTTGCTAAATAGAGGTTTGAAAATGCTTTCGTTTTGGTTAAATATTTATAAATATTTATTAAAAAGTTCTCAGTGCTTGTTCTCCTGTAGGGGATTCACTAAGAGATAATAATAATACTAATTCGATAAATGTTGAATTATTAATAATTTGAAGACAATTCTAGTAGTTGTCACAAACAACAATTACTTACTATCTATTTTTGAAAAAACTAGTTTCGTGCTATCTATAATTTGAAAGAAAAATCCATTAAAAATTAATTTCAGTGCATTGATATGTGGTATGAATGACGTATTTCGTTCAAGTACCAGTTGGAAATTGATTGAAATGTATTGGACACTGAAGTGGTAAAACATTGACTATTGGCAGTTTGGATGTGTATAGAACTACTTGGTGGCGAACCCTTGAGCCCACCCGACTACAGGGTATCACAAAGTTGGTCACAAAGTGACTTTCTAACGACACCATCACTTCGACACGCTCCACTTTTGTTTTTATCACATGCCAAATGGAATAATCAATGGCCACAGGGAGAAATTCTAGTTGCACGCTAAATCAATGGGAAGTGCGCTTAGATGTAGGCAACGATTTTGAGGGTCATCGAAGGATCTGTACGGGATTTCCATTTCGGATCGAAGTTTTCGGGCAGCAGCAGCAGCAGTACTCACATGTAAATTATGGATGTTTCAGCTTCGAGTGTTAAGGTTTATTTACGTTCCTGCCTTTGGGGACACGCACACGCGGATTTTGGGGGGCGGTGGGCGTGGGGGCAGGATAACGACACCAATACACTTGCAGCAATCGCAGTCACAGTTGCACAGTGTGCCATCAAAATCGTTTCATAACCCGCACATGTCTCACACTTCGACGGGTCTCGACGGTCTATTCGATTTCCTTTTTGATCCTTAGCTAACCAAGTGCCACAAATGCTGCGTTTCTGCACTTTTCCACCATTTCCCCGTGGCTGGGCGAGCCGAGAAAATTCCAAACACAGGAGAACGTTTCGTTACGTTTCCCTGCTGTTTACGCCACTTCTGACACTTCTCAGCTTTCGACCAGCGGAGCTCTCCCATTCTGGTGGGGATCGGCAAGCGCCTGCGCCGGCTAGCTTTACGTCATCGCTGGCCGCTGTTGCTCCCAGCGGGAGAATGGGTTAGAGAGAGCTTTCAGCAGTGTTGGTCAGACTTAAAAGGCCTAAAAACAAGAATAATACTAGCTCTTGACATTTAAAAAAATATATATATGTATATTAAACTAAAACCCAATTTTTGTTATTTTTTCAATCACATTTTTACACTAAAGCAAGCAAATCAAAACTGAATAATTTAATCTTATTTGCTTTTACAGAGTTTAAGTTGTGTACAATTTTTTACTTAATTTAACTTAAAAAAACAAATGGATCATGCTAGAACATAAAATGTTTTTACATAAACTTCAAACAAAGTTTAAAAGCTAGTTCCAAACAATGTAAATAATGTGGTTTTTTAGTTTTACTTTCATAGCGGACAAGCAGGGAATATTAGAATTAATGTTACCACTTAACTGTTATTGAAATAAAATCTGTGAGTTTATTAGTTCCTCAGTTCTAAAGTAGCGCATGAGCAGGGATCTTAAAAATTTTTTCCTGACTGTTTTTACTTTATTACCTAAAAACAGCTATGCGTAAAAGAAAAATGCTGGAAAAGCCAAACGAAGATATTTTAATATCCTCATTGCCGCATTCCATGTCAAATTAGCTAGATCTGGCAAGTTATTGGCTAAGAGGGGAACCCTGGGAACTCAAGTTTGCGAACGGTGCAGGCGAAAGCTCCGCTCCGAAGCTTCAATTGGACTTGGGCCCTTAATTCCGCTGCAGTGTTGCCAGTGGCAGGCAGTCCTTTCGCTGAAGAGTTCAGCCGTCGTGTTGTCGCCTTGCTCCTTTTCTTGGTTGTTGTCGCCGTCGCCGTTGTCGTTGTCGTTGCCTTTGTCGTCGTAGTTGTCGTTATCGTGGTCGTTGTCGCCCTGCTCTATTGTTGCCACCAAAAAAAAAAAAAGAAGAAACGCAAGAGACGAACAAAAAATGCCACGAAAGAAAATGTGGAGCGTGAATGTGGCGATTGTTCAGCATTAGCAACTTTTGACCCCGTGCGCAATCAGGTCACCATTGTTCCATGGTAAACAGTGGTAAACCGAATGAAAACCAAAAAACCGAAAAACGGCAAATGTGTGCTGGTGATTTGTGATTGAAAATGCGTAATCCCCGTTCCGTTGTCATCGTGTTCACCGCGTAACCTGAACCTTGAGTAAACACACACACAAACGCAAGTCGAAAAGGGGAGCACGCAACTCTACGTCACAAGAGCTTAATAGAAAGACGGGTAGGGTGAGAGGGGCCCCTACAAAAATACCTTTAAACTACTGTAGTTCAACTACATTTAATTGATCTCCAAAAAGGGGGAGAGAAATCTTTATTGAGGACCTCCCAAAAAAAAAAATTGTTTCGTGCATGGCACAAGAAGTTGGCTCTACTCTAGCCCACTCACTCACTCCTTTGAGAGCTCCTTTGCCGCATAATTTCGATTGGAGCTGGCTCTCTCGCTTTTGTTCTTCACCTCCCCCCTTTTTCTAAGGCTCTGTGTACGTGTGTGTGTGATTGTGTGTTTGTGGGGGGCCTTGCATGTGCACGGCCTGTTTCCAGTTCCTATTCTGGTGTTTGTGTGAGTGAAAGCGTGCCAAATGAATTGAAAATTACATGTGGCTCCGCTATGTCTCCCCCCTCTCCAAGCCCCTCCCCCCCACAAATGCATCGAAGGAGTTTTATTATTTAAACACGACGAGTTGAGCTCATTTGTGCCGTGCCGCGTGTGTTTCCGTTTCGTAACACTCGAGGTTACATAAAAATAGCCATCGTCACCATTTTCTGGGGTCTTTAAAAATATACACGCATTAATGGCAAAGCGCGGCCTAACGGTATTTTAAAACGGTAAACTCACGCACCCCCTTACACCCACACTCTCTTATAGCCTTTGTGAACTGCACGTGGCAAGGAAAGCAAGAATAACGGGAGAAAGAGCAAGCGAGAAAGAGCGAGCGAGAAATAGCCAAGCAAAGCAAAATAGTGAACAAGAAAAACAAAACTGTCCGTCCAGCATTCTTTTTTCTACACAGCACTACACATTTAAAGAATGTAAATGTAAAGTGAGTCAAAATCAGAGAGAGAGACCTCAAAACTGGCCATTGGCAGGCCAACAACACACACAGACACACTCAAACACACACACACACATACGCACACGTATCCTGCTTTGCCGCAGTCATAAAATAATCAAGAAGCAGCAAGAGCTAAATCAGGCGAAAGCAAGAGGACTGCAGCGTGCTGATGTTGACGAAACATCTCCGTTGGGACGAATAAAGCAATTAGCAAAGGTTCGAAATTGCCCCCACTGCCAGGAGGAGCGGATGAGCGGAGCGAAAGGATGCAGGATGCGTGGGACTCCGTGGAGTATTTAGCCTAATCGAGAGTGATGCCGAGCACAAAAATGCAGGACCCTCCCTGCAAAAGTCAGCAATGTGCGAGATAACGGGACACCGGACAGCCAGGCAACCAAAAAAAAAGAAGGAAAAGCAAAAGCAAAAGCAAACGAAACGAGAAATCGAACTCTCCCTGTGATATAACTTGCACCGTAATCGTAATCTAGCTCTTAGTTATCGTTATCGATCAATAATCGCCATAATCGCCGCAATTGTAAGCTAAGTTACAGCACTAAATATCGCCGCTCTGCTCCGCCGCCGCCACCGCCAGACCTGCGCCTAAAAAAAAATCAAATATATAGTTATATAGTATAGACTATAGACTACTAAACCCGACCAAAATCGAGCTAAAATATGGGAGACGAGCAGGACAAGCGAACCGGCAAGGAGAAGCTGCTGTTCTACACCACCGCCTTCTTCATCCTGCTGGGGACTTTCAGCCTGTTTGCCTTCCTGTTCCTGGTGCCCTTCGTCATCGAGCCCGCCTTCACAACGATCTTCATGCAGTTCGAGGAGGTCCCGGCTCTTTGCGAGACCTACGACACGGAGATCTATTACGGGGCCAAGAACTGCTCGTGGGCGTCCTGCCGCGAGGGCTGCACCAAGGATATCTACACGTGCACCCAGATCCGGGTGAACTACCGCCTCAATCTGTACAACTACACCGATGAGTTCAACTTCACGGAGTATCACATCAATCTCAAGGAATCGGAGCGCATAGTGCCGCCCGTAAAGCGAACGGATCGCTATGAGCGGGCTCTGAGGAGCGACTACGAGTACGATAATCTGGGCACCGGTGGCACCGGACTGGATATCGACTTGGGTGGCGGGCGGCTGGAGCAGCTGAATTTCGGGGATGCCGACGGCTCCAACGGGTACCTCATCGAGGATTCGGAGGATACGCACGGGCTGAGTGCCTCGGGCACCCTTATTCCCGACGAGCGAAGACCCTTCGACGAGATCTCCGAGCTTAACGAGGGCCTCATGGGCAATCGATCCATGTACTACTATGTGGGGGCGCGGCTCTTTCCGAACGTCAAGGGCTGTGGCTACCCGCCTATGCTCAATTGTACCATCTGGCTGAAGAGGTACACCAAGATCGGCATGAAGTTCCCATGCTACTACTCCAAGGTGGATCCCAGTCTGGTCATCAGCGACCTGGACTACTGGCAGAACACCCTGAATCTGGTGTACTCGATGGCTATTCCCATACCCTCGTTCATCATCTCGGTGATCTATCTGACGTACGCCTACTTCAAGATCTACAACGAGGACGAGGAGACGGCGCCGCTGGACAAGAATGCCGAGGACATGGACATCGATGACATCGATGCCGTGGACGACAGCGATGGCGCCGTGCTGGCCGACAATGTGGCCGGCAGCCAGATCATCAACATGGACTCCACCACCAACGACAGTTGTCTGGAGGGTGTCCTGCCCAACGGCGGTCCCGGAATGACCGCCTCCATATCGCAGGGTGGCTCGGTGACCACCCCGGGTGGTCATCCGTACATCGCGCAGAGTCCCGCGGGCTCGCAGATGACGCCCAACTCGGAGATGAACTCGTTCGGCCACCAGCTAAAGGTCCAGATGGCCGACGAGCTGTCCAGGGACTCGCTGGAGAACGGAGTTATCTCCACGTCCAACTCAGTGCAAGGGTAAGATGGGACGATGACGAACAGAGGTCTGTCAAAAGTGGGTCTGTCGACAAAGAAATTCCAATAACCTTAAAAATAATAATATAATAGAATAACCTAGTATTGCCTTCTGATTTATTTATTTTAAGAACGGATTTTTCTTTTAAAAGAAAAATTTTGGCTAAGCTTCTTTTTAGGCCATTCTTACCATTCTAAAAAATAGGATGTCAATTAAAAAATATAAAATCAATTTTATTTGCAGTATTTAACTATGAAATATAGCAAGTCTTACAATCATTAGGTAATCAATACTTATGTATTTTTTATAAGGAACAAAAACGGTTTGTGGAGGTCCGGAAATTTTCCTTGAAATATGTATTTACTTGATATCTACTTGATATGTATATTACGTATACTTAATAATTAAGAATTGTGGATTACGTATACGTTCCTGACAATTTGTAGCATACCCTTATGGGCAAGTTAAGAAAAGCGGAAAACAAGAAACTTAAAGCCTTACTAAATTATGTGTTTGATTAAAACCTCTAACACACCCAACTTTTACCCAAAAAATAATATATTTCAATATATTTTGTGTTACAGAAACTTGAGCAAGACGATGACGACGAGTATCTCAACTCCTCCTGGGCCGACGGCGGCAGTCTGAAACGTCAGGCGCATGGTCTGGAAAATGTTAGATTCCGATTCGGAAAATGAGCCGCTGCTGGATTCGTAGGCCGCCGAGCGGACAACGGACCACGGAGCAGGCGGAGATCATCGGAGCAGCGACCCAATCCAAATCCAAAGAACAAAACCGAAAAGCGATAACCCCAAGTATTTCTACCCGAAACAATCGACAACAACGCAGCGAATGCGACCGAACCTGAATACCTTCAGAGCTGTTAGCGGCACCTAAATGAACTATGATAGATTATATTTACCTTATGGACTAGCTACTCAGACACCCACTCACCCACATAAAGCACGCTAGAAATCCGGAGTAACTCCGGATCGCCACACCCACTCAAAATTGCAACACACGGGCATTAGTATATCTGCACAGTATCTGATATCTGGAGATTGGACGGATAATGGATGATGCCACATCTTAGGCGATTGGTACAAAATACAATAAACATAGACCGCAAGAACTCGAGCATGGAGTGCTATTCATATACCTAGAGGAAACTATAATACTTATACACGCATATACAAATATTTACTTGAATTATTTTTCTATTTGCAACAATCGTCGTCGTCTCGAGGCCGAAAAATAAAAAACACAGAAACTACACACTACCCATGCCCGAAAACCAAAAAACCGAATAAAGCAAATAAAAGTAAAACATAATAAAGCGCGCAACTTATTTACAAATCGATAAATCGAGGCGCTGAGGTTTTTTAAATATTGTAATGCCCATTCAAGTGCTGCAGACCGCAAAACACAAGCGAGGAACACTCGAAACCAAAAACAGAAATTAAATTTACCGAACGAATGCATCGTGTATTTAATTTAAACGTAACGATAAACGAAAGCAAGTCGAATGCCTATATTTGAAGTAAATTAAATTAAAATTAAATTAAATTAAATTAACGTAAATTAACTAACAATTGTTATCCTTCAAATTAATGCGGATAAAAACTCACAGCTTTAACTAACTGAAACGGAGGCATAAGATTTTTCTTCTACATATTTATTTTATTAAGATTATTAACGGATAATGAATATTTATAGGTCCTACAAATGGTTCAAGCTATTCAATTAAAAACTTACAAATAAAATATTGCATTAAATCTTAATAATTTAGGTCTGAAATTAAATATAAAATAACGTTTCCTTTTTATATTACAAACAAAACCGAAAACCGAAACACATTTCTAAAAGCGAAGGCGAATAATCTCAAAATTCGTTGCCTAGGCATATAGAAGCATCCGCATCAGCATCTGCATCCGCATCAATAAACTGCACTTTTGCGCATAATGTATCAATGAAAAGCGGCAAAGAACTACACAGAAAATCGTTTGTTTTTAACGACAGTTGAAGATTGTTAACGAGAGTTAAGCAATGGCAAAACAGAAGCGCAACTATTAGCTAATATCATGTAAAACAGACAAACAAATAACAAAATGCTACTAGAATTGAAACCAAATACATGAAAATCTCGAAATAAATACGCATTTAGCAGCCTAAATCATTCTGGAGTTTTATTTTCGATTTCAGCTTACAAATTTAAGACACAAACTATTATTTTTCAATTATAGTTTTTCGAAAAACTGGAAGTTAATTGAACTTTATTCATTTTTAAAAATACAAAAGTGTTATTTTGTGTTATTTAGTGGTAAACAGTTTTTTTTACTTTTACTTTACAAATATATGCTGTTTGATTGATATAAAAATCAATTCAAAATATCACTTATTTATTTGCATTTGTCCTTTAAAATTCGAATTAAAAAAATTTCGAAAGTATTTCGAGATATATTTTATAACTCAATTATAGGATACGGAAAAAGTATTCTGGGATCAATATTATTTTTTTGTATAAAGGTAAGATTTCTCTTAAAATATATTCTTAAATCGCCTTTCCAATAAGAAGTTGTTAATAATTGGCGCCATCAGGTTTTGTTCCCCGGACGTTTTACAACACTACAAAATTTTAGTGAATGGCAGTGCTGCCAGAAACTTCGAAGCAAAACTAGCTAGTTTTGGAAAAATAAGGCAGTACAGACAATCTGCTTTGTAAAAAAAAAATTGCTAAGGCAAAAACTTAAAAAAATTATAAAAGTTTAAATTTAACTTATAAAGATAGAATTGCAAAAGGTTGCCAAAATTGGCAACTAAATAGCTCATGTGGCATCACTACTGGATATCAGGGAAGAGGAAGCAATCAGCTGTTGCCGTTTTCACCTGTGCCGAGAAAAAAATTGCTAAAACGAATACTTGTAAATGTGTTTAAAAACAAATCACGGCTGCCCTACTTTATTAACGCTGCTATTCAACTATATAGACGTCCGATTCCGTTAAGGAATACGGAAAAATACGCTGCAGTAGAGTAAAACCTAGATTGAGGCACACCGACGGCAACATTTTTTTTTTTGTAAACAAATATTTTGCCGTGGAAAAAACTTAGCTATCAGTTAACAAATGCCGTTTAGCTGAGGAAATCGTAAAAAAATTGCTTCGATGGACAATAAAAAGGATATTTACAACCTTTGGGTGCAGTACACGACAAAGGTGAGGCCCATTTTGGAGTAAATCGAGTGATAAGAAGCGGAATTATGGGCGGCGGAGGAGCGGGGGGAGGTGCTCCGATTGCGGGGGCGGCCGCAAAATGTTTAAAGCATTAGTCACCGCAAAACAAAAAGGCAATCGTTTATCAGTTTTTCACCGACTGTAAACAGTGTAATGATTATATAATCCCAGACAGGCTCAAGCTAAGTCCTTCCCTCTCTTTCGCTCTCATCCCTGCAGAACGATGAGACCCATTTCCGGCAGTTTGTGGCCCGCTTTGTGGCCATTTGGAGGAGCCAACTGCAGCTGGACTTCCAGGCTGAGAGCTGCCCCATGTGGCACGAGGTTCTGCCGGACAGTGGTCCCCATTTGGGTCGCCTGCCGGACGAGCTGCTGCCCGCCATCGGCAAGTTCATCATTGTGGCCAGAGATGCCTGCGAAACGGAAGGAAAACTGGAGGAGGAGGCCATCGAACAGGTGGCCATTCTGGTGGACTGCTTGGTGATTGTGTGCCGGCACTTTGACAACATCTTGGCGGTCATTAAATACGAGTACAAGCCCAATCTGATAGCCATACTCTCAAGAGTGTTCAAGCAAGTGAGTAGATTACTTAATTACACTATTAAATCCGATAACCAATCACTTTATTTTAGCAAATGGAGCTGCCTCAGGCCTTGCCCGCTATAAGCCATCTGTTCGGCAGCTTCTCGGCTTTCCTGGAGGTCATGTACGATCCGTATCTGACATGGCGCAGTTTTGTGCGGGGCCAAACGGCAGACTACAGTCGACTCTCCTACAAGCCGCACTCGGTTCATGTGGAAATTGTTCCATTTATTTATGGTAAGTATCGAGTACAAGAGGCAATGATGGAAGTGTTAGCTCTTGCAGCTTATCTATATATGAGCCCCACCTAATTGCCTCCTCCCCCATCACTGCCCCTTAATTGTTTGACTCTCTAACATATTGCGTTGGCTTGCTTTCAGATTGCTTTCAGGAGGAGAAACTCATCCGATATGCGGAAATAGGCGAGAGTCTGCTGAATATCCTGGGCGCTGTGATTTGCGGCTCGCAGGTAGCGCCAGAAAGCGTCTCCAGTCCCCAGTCCTGTGTAGTCCTTTCTAAACATACTACTTTGAAAACCGTTTAACTATTAACCTCACTTCCTGACAGCTTCTCTTTATGCTCACTGCTTTCGCTATTAATGTTCATTAGAGCTCTATCATTCCGTTTCCTTGTCCACTCTCGTTTCGTTTCATTTCGTGTATCGTTGATGTGGCTGGATCCCCTCCAGCTGCAGCTGAAAGTGCAGAAGTCTCTAAACTCGACCTCCTCGACCCTGACAAATAGAAATACTAACGCTCTAACCACTTCTTCACTTGCCCCCTGCTCGGGTGATGGGCTGCTAGACTGTGATAACTTGGTGAGTGGTGGAACCATCTGTTGTCCCGATCATTGTTGTCCCCCTAACCGTTGTCCATGCATGCCATTGCTTGTCTGTCCCGCGATCCTGTTGAATTCCATCCGTATAATGGTGTTTTTGGTTCGCCCAGCGCAATGGCATGAAGGCCATTTGCCCCGCCACGGTGTCCATCACCATGAGCATTCTGCGGCAGTGGGAAAGTGCCAGCAAGCTGCGCCGCGTGGCCCTTCAATGCTATGCCCTGATGGTCATAGTGCTGCAAAAATCTAGTCCGGAAGAAGTAAGTCACCAACTATATCAATTTCACATCTTACTAATCGTAACTCTCTCTCTTGTGAAACAGCGCCAAATAGACCTAGTTACATTAGTTCAACTTTATTGTGATGCTCTGCAAGAGCTGCTGGCCACCAAGCACTTTGACAGCGGCGATGCCAACTTCGATATAGCCAGCGATGCTGACCAGGATGTGGCCATCGACATGGCCGCCCTCTCCTCCTCGGTGGCGGCTGTGAAACTCTTTGTGGCTGGCGATGCCGGTGTTAGTGAGGCAATCGCTGATTCCAATCTACTGGAACTGCTCACCAGTCTGCCAAAACGAATAAGAGTAAGGAGTTTGATCTTTTAGAATTTGTATTATGATATTTAATAACATTCTATGTTTAGCCCTGGCACATTTCCCATTCGAGTTCCCTGTGCAGCACCATGGAGGCCTTGGCTACTTTGACGCGCCACTCCGCGCAATCTGCTGCACAGTTGCGTCAGGGTGAACGCATCCAGAGGCTCTTTGCCAGCTTGCAGGAGTTCGGAAGCCCAACAGTGGCTCTTCTGGACACCTGCTTCATGCTGGGCTACGATGAAAGTGGCCACTTGTTGCTGCTGCCCGAGGTGATGCTGCAGTTGCTCAACTGGGTGCCAACGCTGCAGGAGCAGGAGCAGCTACATGTGACAAACCTTGTGCTCAAGGGCTGCACCGACAACTATGGAACGTGAGTGGAGTGACTATTATAAAAACTATAGATAAGTAATACATTTTATAATCATTCAACAGAAAATCTGTAGCTTGCGGCAGTCATATTATCAAGGCTGTGTGTGGTTGCCTTCTGAAAGCTGAATCTCTGGCCGAAAACTGTGTCCAGAATCTCATCAAACTGATAGAGGAACTAAGCAAGCTCAGTATTGTGCCCGCTGAGCTAAAGTGCATCTTTATGCTGTTGCGTCAGGGCACAAAGTTCCCGCAGAACAAGCAGCTGCAGCAGGTACAACTCACTATTAACTAATATTATTCGTTTTATTTAAATAATTGATTTTTTCAGACTCTAGTGGTGATTGCCCTGCAAAGTTTGAGAGGCAGCAACTCCTGCGCCCAGTACTTCTCAATCGAACAGCCCACCGATGGGATTCTCGTGCCGGACATTCGAAACTGGACCATCTCCGGTTCGTACGGCTTCATCTTCCACATTCTGGTGCGCTTCAATCAGCTGAAGGATCAGTCCAGTAGTCGACGCATGCTGCTTGCACTGCAGACAGCCAGTGGCAGTGGATTTGAGGTCTTTGTCCAGCCCAATGGAAATGTTGTGGTGGCTGCTTTGACCAGGCGGGAGTACCTTACATCCTCCACGGCCACAAAGACGCTGATGGATGGTCAATGGCATTACCTGACGGTAGCCATAACTCCACCAAAGCGACCCTTTTCCTATAGTCAAATCAACATCTATGTGGATTTTGTACAGAAACTCAGTGCCACACTGAAAGTTCAGGCGGTGAACGAACCCTTCACCCACTGCTCCATTGGAGCTGCGGTGGCACCACCACAACCAGGCGAAGTGGCCAAGGCTGGGATAATGCCCAGGTCCTCATCGCAGGAGAGTGGATCCATCTACAAGGGAATGCTGCCCAGTTTATTGGAAAGAACCCTATCGGCAAATGTAAGTGGAACACATTTTATTTGTAATTTTCCTCGTCTTACTGAAATTATACCTTTAGGTGTCCAACTACTTCACCCTGCCTATGCGCACACAGACGGCTTTTGATCCCAATGTGAAGAACTTTCCCATCGGCATGCAGGACACAGTGTTTGGGGAGCAGACTTGCCTGCATGGACATCTGGGCGGAGTACTGCTGGCCGATCCCACCACCAGCCTGAAGACCATCTTCGATGCGGGCTCCAATTTCAGTTCGATCTTCTCGCAGGACAATGATCTCCTCGAGCTCAACTCTCGCTTCGTTTTCTGCTATGCCCCGGGAGCAGTGTGGCATGGCACCTGCCAGGATCTCATACCGGGCGGAAAATATCCGGGAAGGATCAGTGGTCAGCACTGCAAGGTCGTCAAGATCCAGGAGACAATCAACAGCATCGGAGGCATCAGTGCAATACTGCCCATTCTGCACAGGCTGGTGAGTTCGGAGCAGGCGGCAGACATCTCGATTGGCAGCGTGAGCGAGGAATCCTTGTCGTGCGCCCCAACGCCATCGGCCGAGGAGTTCACCGACTGGGAGATGCTCTCCTCGAACTCGTACACCGAGTGGAAGATGCTGCAGCATCCGTTAGCCAGCTTCCTCTGCCTGCTGCGCTACCTCACGCACGAGCACGAGACGAACCAGGAGCAGCTGCTGAGTAGCGAATGCCTAGCCATTGTGGGCACAATGCTCCAACGCTGTCCACCCGCTCTGTTCGATGTGAACGCCCTGATGGCCACCCATCTGCTGATGGAGTCGCTGCAGGGACACAAAGCGGAGGCGGGCGGTCAGCTCCTGGATGCATTGTACGCTCACATTGTGTTCGACTTTGCTATCTGGTCGCGACTGCAGTTCCAAATCACACTGGGACATGCCCAGTACCTAAGTGCCATGATCAAGAATGACAGGAAGTTCTTCCGCAAGCGGTATGGCGTACAGTTTGTCCTGGACGTGGTGCGTCAGTACTACTCCACGCCGGACAGCATCAGCGATGACGATGCCAAGACCATTCGGGCCACGCTTTTCGGCATCATTCGGTTCTATCTGCAAAAGGAGGTGAACATCAAGGAGGTCAATTCGATGGTGGCCTTTCTGGCTTCAGTGCGACAGGATGTGGTTCTTGTGGAGTTCCTCGAGATGATGACCTTCTATGTGCGCGGCAAGAACTGCAAGGATCAGATGGTTCTTCTCCTGCACGAACCCCAGTCCGCCAATCTCATCTACAATTTCTTTGTGGACAAGAGCTACAACAATGAGATCCAAGAGGCGGCCATAAGGGTGAGATTGTTTACTCGATTAATGTTAACAAGTTGCTTACACTTTCTTTTTCTAACACCAGTTTATCAGTGGACTATTGGCCACCTCGCGGGTGCATCAGAAGTACAAGCAAGTGCTCCGACTGTACGACCAGGCCACCGAGCAGAGCATGTTCCCTGGCTTCTTCTCCTTCATCACACCCATGTCGCTTAGCTCTACGATCCTCTTCCATTTGGTAGATGAAATGCTGGGCCTGCAGCCGGACTACGCAGGTCTCATCTTCCTCGTCTATCACGTGAGCAGCTGTGATTTGCCCGTGAAACTGGAGATAGCCAAGCGACTGCTGCAGACCACCTTCGTCAAGCAGCAGTCCACGGTGGCGATGGCCAAGCAAACGGGTTGGCAGGAGTCCATTGCCCGCCTGCTCATTCGCAAACCCATCACCAGTTCGCCACCAGACGAGGAGAAGCGACGCAGCTTTGGCATTAACTTGGATGTGCTGCTCGAGGATAACTCAAGCTTCCTGGCCCAAGCAGATCTTATTACGTTCTCGGAGCAGGAGATTGGCTTGGCCCAACTTCAGCAGCAGCAACAGGAGGAGCTGAGCGACAGTGGCCTGATACTCAACGAAATTCAGGCCAGTGTTTCCGAGGCAGCCACTGTCATCGAGAGCGAAATTAAAGGTAACTTTATTACTCTATCAGTATTTATTAATTAAGAAATGTATGAACATTTCAGAACTGGCTGAATCCGTATCCGGAGCTGTGGTTGAAAATGCCAGCAGTTTGTTCTCGGTCATTCGGCAGACCACCCATGATCTGCAGGACACCTTAGAGTCCTTGACATTGGGCAGCTCCACGGACACTGCCGATGGCGCCCAGACGCCCTCCATACAGCGTGAGGAATCCCTAAGCTCGGACAGTTCCACACAATCCCCACATGGACCGCCCAAGAAAAGCGACTCCTTGGAGGTAAAAATAACTTTTGCTTTATAAAAAAAAGTATATAATTGATAATTTCCTCCTTAGAGCACCTCTGCTTTTGACTTTGTGGCCGATGGCGATGTGGACACCGAGGAGCAGTTGGTTTATCTAGTCTCAAACACACTCTTCAATATTTTCTGGCGCGGTATTCCCAACGATCATCCGCAGTGCTGGCAGGAGCGTGGTCAAGTTTTGGGTTGCATTAACTTGTTGGCTTTGAACAACGAGCTGATCACTTCGCATCTCTCACTGCGACTCCGGATTCTTGAGATGGCCGTGCAGGCCTCACTCTTCGACCTTTCGGAGCACGGCAGTCAGACGCTGGTCAACCAGGAGAATGCCTCGCACATCCTGCGCATGGTTTACGAACTGGTGGTCCTGGGCTCCAACGAGGACGAGTCCAAGAAGTGCTCCACCAAACTGCTGGACGGTGTGCTGGCCCTGCTGGACGCCCTGATGATTTTCCAGCAGGGATCCTCTGACGACTGGTCGGACATGATTCGATTGTGCCTGGGCCTGCTGCTCAAGTGCTCACATCACCCGAATCCTGGCATTGTGGCCATGGCCACGGCCAAACTGCATGCTATCCTCCAAAGTCGTTCTACTGAGGATCCAGCGGAGCTCTCTTACCTTTTGTACAGCATCAATAGGGCGTTGGATAATGCCATCGAGGGTGGGTTTTAAAAACATATTCTATAACTTTACTCACACCTTACTAAATGTTTCATTCATTTTTGCAGTTGGCAACCCGGAAGAGTATTCCTTTTTGATGCCCGTGATGAAAGCCCTGCTGGAGAAATGTCGCTTTGCCTTCAATTTGGACTCCACTCTACCAGATCTGCCTTCAACTTCCTCTGGTCCTGTCTTCTTCAATGATTTCCAAATGTACAGCACCAGCAAAAAGTGGAGGAACTTTATTGAACGCATGGTGAGTAATATAATAGGTATTTAAATTTATTCAACATCTTAGCCTAGTTTGCAATACAAATAATAATAACCTAAGGCTAAAGTCTAAGTACTAGTTAACCAAGTCTTTAAGCTAATTCAGTTGAGAACTCAGTATAGTTTGTGGTTTTTTGGCAAGTTCTGACGCAGCCCATGGAGATTCCGCTCCATTTCGCGATCGCCCAAGGGGCTCTTGAACAGCGTCGTATCGAAGACGCCCTTGGTGGTCCGCTTGGCGGTGGGTGCTCCTCTGCCGGGATCCGCTGGCTGCAGGGCCAGCGGCGACACTGGTCCATGATTCCTCACATAACCGGGGCGAGTGGGTCGCGAGCCACGTACTCCGGTTGTGGGTGAGTACTGCTGCCGGGTGGGTGGTGCAATGGTGCCATCGTAGTAGCTCTGTGAGTGGGATTGTTCAATCCTTACGCTCGTGGTGATGGGATGATCAGAATTCACGGGTTGTGGATTAGTGCGATACCGGGAGGCGCCACGATTTCTACTCCTTCCGGTAGTGGGTGTTTCCGGAGTACTGGTCACTACAGTGGGTAAGAAGGCCGTGCGGGTGGTGCTGCTCCTGCCCCTCATGGGACTCCAAGGTGCCGCCGTAGTCGATGTCGTCGTCGTAGTTGTGGGTGTCACAAAGTTAAAGAAGGTCTGCTTGCGCTCCACAAAGTGTGAGCTATTCGCATCCGTATCCGCGTTCTCATTCGATTCCCCTGAATGCCCTGAATGGCCATCCGCATCGTAGGCCTGCTGGAGTTCAGGAACATCGAGAGTATGCTTTGCGGGCACAATTCCTGCGCTGGGCTTACGCTTCCTCTTTCGCCGCTTGGAACTGCCAGCCGCATGGACATCTGAAGCGATTTCATTGTGATCGGGTGAGGAGGCCAGAATGGGCGGATACGACTCCTGCTCATCCCGAGTGGAGGCTTCGAAGGGCACCGGATCGTAGATGGGCACTTCGTAGCTGGATTTGGGAAAGTCAAAGCTAGGGAACTTGTGGTGTGGATTCAAGGGCAACTCCTGCGAGGGTGGAGCATAGTCATCCTGTGGATAGCTCTGTATGGTATGGGAATCGGAGGATATGTAGTTTGTGGGAGGATGCTGAGCTGGTTGGTCGTAGGTTGATGAAGGTGGCTGATGTTGATAGCTGTTGGAGTGATCCTGAGCAGGTTGATCATAGCTGGAAGAGGGATGTTGTGGAGGTGAATGATCATAGCTGGATGAAGGATGTTGCTCTGGATGATTATAACTGGAGGAGGGATGTTGAGGAGGCTGGTCATAACTGGAGGAGGGATGTTGTGGAGGTGAATGATCATAACTCGAAGAAGGATGCTGGACAGGCTGCTCATAACTGGAGGAGGGATGCTGAGGTGGCGCATAGCTATTGGTTGAAGGATGCTGGACAGGCTTCACATAATTATTAGACGGTGGCTCAGCGAATCCATCCTGAGATGGCGATGGATGAGGTGGCACATAGCTCTGCTGGTGATTTTGCTGATAGGATGTGCTAATCTCAAAAGCGGGCGGTGAATAGGCAATCTCAAAGTTGGAACCATGTGTCGTCTTCTGTTTCGGTGGCTCGGCAAAGTTCTGATGATAGCCCACATTGGGGATCTTCTGCTCATAAATGGAATACGAATCGGGAGCTGGCAGATCCTGATGCGGATAGCTGGGAACGGGTGCCGGAGCAGTGGGCACTCCGTAGCGAGTGGCTGGCGGATGGGCCGGCGGAGCAGGAGGTGGCGGTGGCTCATAGTGCGAGGCAAAGGAGTGATCCGGCTGGAAGCTCTGCTGCAGCGGGGGCAATCCGTACTTCTGGTGGGGAACGTGTTCATGGGTGGTCACCAACCCTAAATCCAGGCTGGGAAACTTGTGCGCCCCATAGAGATCGGGTTCCGTGTCGTGGTTATAGAAATCCAGATCCATGGACTGCGCTTCGTAACTCGAAGTGGGTATCTTGAAATCCGCTCCATCGAACTTCAGATGCTGGAAGTCATCGAGCGAGAAGCTGGGCTCCTCGATATGTTGTGTTGGAAACGAGGGCTTCGAGTAGCGAATGTGTGGTGGTGGTGGTGGTCCGTACTTGAGCTTCGGATGACCCTTGGTCCGTCGCCGCAACTTGGAGTGCTTGACCACGGCAAAGGGCGGTTGTCGTCGATACCGGATCAGTTTCTCCGCCGTGGGCACCAGCTCCGTCTTGGGCACCAGCTCCGACTTGGGCTCCCGCTCGACACTTGCTGTGGCATTCGATTGTTCGCTCAGGGCGAAGGGCAGCCAGACAGCCAGCTAAAAGGGGGAAAGGGGCAGAAATATAAGAGGCAAAGGGTGAGTGGGTTAATCTTCCGCAAAAAAAGAAAAAATGTCATCAGACACATAAACTTTCTCCCACCCAAACTTAAATGCTGTCATCTCTGTGTGCTCGTGTCTTATGGTGGCGCCAACCTTTGACTTTCCAACTTAGACTCACTGCTGACTTCCGCCTCAGTGCCTCACTGCCTCTCTGGCTGATGGCAACCAGTGGCAATCGAGTCACGAGTCACGAGTCTTGCTCGCCAGGCTCCTCGTAATTGTTGCATCGACTTTGGAGGCGACTTTGCCGGCTGGCTGGTCTCACGCAATCCAGCCAATCGGGGAGGAGCTGGGATTGGGTGGGGAGGTGGTGCAACTGGGCACCCGAAGGAGCCAAGCATTGAACCTGATCGTCGCCAGGTTCAGGTGTGAGCGCCAATCCATTTGCAGCTGCTTGTTTTTTGATATTTGGCCATGACTTGTTCGGCTTGCTCTCTCAACAATGTTTAAAATTATACCTTATACCTATTGAAAATAACATAGTTTAATAAAGAGTTTTCTCTGTCAATATCTGTTTAACCGAAACTTCCTATACTTGTTATAATTATTGACAAAAATATTACTTATTTAAAGCAATAATGAAAACTAATTAGTAACTCAACATTTCAATAATATGAAATTCTTATTCTTGCCATAAACTATAAACGGCATTTTCTATAAATCTCAATATCAATATTAAGTCATTACCCACATTTTACTAAACTATTAAAAATGATTTAGTAATGAATTTTGTGTTTCTTCAAAAATTCTTTAGAAGACTTCACATCGTACTTTACTTTAGAATTTTCTTCATGATCGCACAAAATGTGCTTTTATTGATAGGGTTTTTTGGCAAATTTAATTGAATTTGATGAAATTAACAATGCTTTCAAAAATATATTACATTATATTAGATAGTGTAATGTCTAGATACATTTTATATTAGGATGGTAAAACAATAATCAGAACAATGATATTTATCTAACTTGCTTTTATTTGTTATTTTTTATTTAAATCAAATTTATGTTATTTTCTTGTACACAAAAGCTTTACACCTTCTTAGAATCCTTTTTTTTTTAAAATTAAAGTTTTGTTATTACACTTTTTATAGAGCCCCCCTGCGACAGCACACATGAGATGGCAGCACAATTAATTCACATATTATTTAATCGCTTACAAAACAGGCCGAAAGCCAAAACAACTTGCACATTTTGAGCGGTAGACAAAACGCGAATTAAACTCTACGCAGTATTCAGTAGTCGCGTTTTTCCAAAAACAAATTCCGAAATCGAAGCGAACATCAACAGCACACAACTTTCATTGGCGGCGGTCCAGCGACTCCGAATCCAAAAACCAAATTGGAGTTGGAGCTGGAGTTTTTGAACTGAGTTTGAGTTTGAGATGGTGATTGAGATTGAGATGGTGATTGAGATTGAGATTTTCCTAGCGGCGGCTCCCGGTCGGTCACGACTCGTCGGACTTTCTTTCGGCAACTGAGCTGACCAGCAAGAAAGTGGTCTGGTTTTGTGGCTCGAAGAGGCGCAGCTGGAACCAGTCGAATGACAAAGCGGCGTCGCTGCCGATGCACCCACCAAGGCAGAGATTTTACCAGAAATATTTTGCACCTCCTCTCTTTTATTTTGTATTTTTGTTGTATTTTTTTGTTGTATTTTATTTTATTTCATTTGATTTAATTCGTGTGTGTGCCCAGTGCCTTGGAACGAGCGCTGGATTCGCTGGATGGCTGGTGGATTATGCAAAGAACCTCCCGCCGCGATAATACCTTCACTTGCGCAATGCGGATGCCTCCTGGATACGCCACATATATATATATTGCCAGATATCTGGCCAAGATAGACGATTAAATAAACCCCAAAATAAACAGCTATTGAGAGGGGATTGCGTCTAACTGGTTTGCACAACAACTGCAATCGAGTGCTTCCTGTGCCCGCGGCTCCATGCTCCATGCTCAATGCTCCATGCACATTGAACTTGAACCTGACCGGACGTGACTTGAACTGGGAGTGATCTCCTCCAGATGATCGCCTCACTGCCAGCAGATGGAACTCGAACACGCACGAAGACTGCCCCTGAATCGAACGAAAGCGAAAACAAATGCAAGCTGCCATAATCGTCAGTCTCGATACACATTACAATTCGCAGACTGAAAGAAAAGATTGATTGATATAGACAGATATAAGATATGGTGATCACAAATAAGATAAATATTTTTAAAATATTCAGGGCAATACTCTAATGGCTATGTATCTAAAAATTTTAATACATTCTAAAAGCATATCAAAATCATATTAATTTGTAAATAATTGATATGATTTTAATATGATTAATTGGGACATTTGGTTTTTACATATTCAGGGAAGGTAGTCATATGATTTTGATTAAGTTCATCTATTTTAGTACGTTCCAATACCTCTACATGTTTATAGAATTCATGGTATTTAGAGGCAATAATGATGTACAGATACTCATGAATATTACATTTATTATTAATAAGCAGTATTTATATAAACAACTCTAGTAGTTATGTTTTCATATAGAGTTATGCAATGGGATACATATTATCATGGTATAGAGGCAATTATGACATACATTTTGTCCTTAATATTACATTTAATATTAATATTATGATTATGATAATGTTTAAACAGTTTTTAAAGTTCTGTTTTAGTAACTTACTTTTATTTATAGATCTTATTTCAAATATAAAGCCTATAGGAATTCATATTTATGGAACAGTTTCTTTTTGTGTACTGATCTCGAGTTTCCACACTTGCAGGTGAAGCCGCTGTACGATCGCTACCAGCGCGACATTGAGCTGCACCTGTGGGAGCCCATCAATCGCTTCTGGGCGGAGTGCTACGAGGCCTGCAAGGCGGCCTCCAAGCAGAGGGCTTCCAATCAGACCGAGAACAGGCGCCTCTTCCAGCAGAAGATCTACATGCCGTGGAAGGTGCGCCAGGTGGAGGAGATGCAGCGTCTGCAGGCGGCTGCACTGCATCACAAAACGACAGACAGTCACATACGGAAGCGGTGGAAGACCGCCAAGCGTTTCTTGTACGGCCCCCGCGGACCCTGGTACACTGGGTAAGTTTCAAGCCCATTAAATTATTTTTACACAGGGAGAACACACAAATTTCTTTACATTGTTGCCTTCTCAAAATTGAGTTACTGTTCGACTTTAATCGTACTATAACAAACCTCTGTTTCGAAAATTATATAAAAGGTTACTTTCAATGAATCATTATACCCTTGCAGAGGGTATTATAATTTCAGTCAGAAGTTTGCAACGCAGTGAAGGAGACGTTTCCGACCCTATAAAGTATATATATTCTTGATCAGCATCACTAGTAGAGTCGAACTAGCCATGTCCGTCTGTCCGTCCGTCTGTCCGTCTGTCCGTCTGTCAGTCTGTCCGTCTGTCCGTCTGTCCGTCCGTTTATATGCAAACTAGTCTCTCAGTTTTAAAGCTATCTGCATGAAACTTTCCCAAAAGTTGTCTTTCTATTGCAGGTAGTATATAAGTCGGAACGAGCCGGATCGGACGACTATAGCATATAGCTCCCATAGGAACAATCGGAGAAATAAATGAAAAAAAATTATAACATTTCTGTTTTTTAATGTTTTATCTAGTTCTTCCACATATAGCAATGGTTATATATTTCAGAATTATGGTTTAAATTTCATCAAAATCGGACGACTATAGCATATAGCCCCCATAGGAACAATCGGAAAAATAATTGAAAAAAAATTATAACTTTGCTGTTTTTTAATTTTTTGTTTTGTTCTTCGACATAAAGCAATGGTTAAATATTTCAGAATTATGGTAAAAATTTCATCAAAATCGGACGACTATAGCATATAGCTCCCATAGGAACAATCGGAAAAATAAATGAAAAAAAATTATACCTTTTCTGTTTTTTAATTTTTTGTTTAGTTCTTCGACATTTAGTAATGGTTAAATATTTTCGATTTACGGTTTAAATTTCATCAAAATCGGACGACTATATCATATAGCTCCCATACAAATAATAAAAATATATAAAAGAACAATCAAATAATTAAGCTGCAAATCGTCATAGCTTCAATGTTTTTAAACATATACGCAAGTAAATCATAATTTTAATGTTTTCAAAAATATTTAATTCTTGCGATAGCTGCAAGGGTATATGAACTTCGGCTTGCCGAAGTTTGCTTTCTTTCTTGTTTTAAAACCCATTTTAATGCAGATTCTTAGAGTATTAAACCAAAAACATTTAGGGGTATATCTCTGGGAAATCGTTTTTCAAACATTTAAAGTCAAGAAAAGTTCTATGTCTTGTACTTAGTTTTTTAACTTAATTAAATAAACGCATTTTTCGGAAAATAGAAAATATAAAAAACAAACTTTTAGGGATGTATATCTGGGAAATCGTTTTTTCAACTTTCAAAACGGAGGGTATTATTTTTCAATCCAATTTAAAACTTCAAGATTATTCACTCTGTAAACGTCAGCGAGCCCGCCCCGATTCCATTATGAAATGACGCGAAATTCAGCATTTTAATTGCCCGCCTCGCTGTTGTGGCGACAATTGTAATCGAGCGTGCCAACGTTGTGTGTGCGTGATCACTTAATCACCCGGAGGCACACACACTCGGAGTCTCAGACACCGCTAGGCCACTCGAAGACTCAAACACGGCCAGAAGTCGCCGCGCTTTGTGTTAATTTCACTTCGAAATGCAAACAAATCCCTCTCAATCATTAAAGTCTTCAGCAGAGCCACCAAAGACACCAAAGCCACCAAAGCCAAGTCGTCATCATCATGATCATCAACACTCTCCACTTGGTGGTAACCACAGTACGTTTAGTAGGTTGTTGCTGCCCGTGTTCCACTGCCACAATGGGTGAAATCCGTCAAAACAATGCCACAAATCGGAGATAATCTGATGTAGATTTAAATCTTATTTACATTTAATCGTGTGTTTGATTTTAGTGGTGAGATTTTGAGTTTATCATATCAGGTTTGGCATAAACTGGCAGTTATTAATAACTTTAAAAAAGTTATACTATTATTAACTGAGGCCAGAAAATCTCTGCAAGCTTTCATCAGTTTGACTGGCTTTTAACTTCAAATTAATTTTAAAGCTGTCTGTAGAAAAAGGTTATTCTCAATATAATAAAACAGTCAAATCCTTTTTATAAATTTAAAGGAAAGCTTAATACTTTAAAATATTGTTCTATTTAGTATTATTTTAAAAAGCTTAAGCAGATTAAAATATGCATATTAAGTTCGAAAACTGAAACATGAGAATGATATCAGTTTTATTATTATAATGAAAAGTTAAAAAAAATGCTATACCTTAAAAGGCTGTACTAATTGTATTTAGAAAGGCAAAGGAGATTAAATTGAATAAATAGAATAAATTAAGTTCTAATACTAAAGTCTTTTTAGGATTTAAGGATAATTTAAGTTATTTACTACATTTTACTTATAAACAGTAACTGAAATTTTCCTTCCATATTCCTGCTGCGCTCTTCCATTGCCCTTAATTTTTGTTAATACCCCAGCAAAGTTTTGGGCCCATTGTAACACCTGCTGTTTGGTGTTTGTTGTTTGGTGCTATTAGGTGCTGCAGCTCGTCTTTTGTCTTACGCTTTCGCCCATGTCTTTTGGAGCGGCCCCTCCACTTTCCCGCCCATGCCGTATCGCTATCAACATTTCAATTTAATTTTATTAAATCATCAAAAGCGTTTAATGTCGAATGCAACACAAAGGCCCGTCGCATTATGCAAGTGCAAATGTAACGAAAACTCATTATGCGATCCATAAATGTTTTACATAAACAAATATGCACATAATTGAATTGAATGGTGTGCAGCCACATGCAGATGTGCAGACGAGGTGGGGTTTTGGTCGTCGCCATGGGCGGATGGAGGTCAGTTCTTGGACGGATCGAACGGATCGAATTATCCCAATCCAAAGCAAATTGAAAGGGGCGCGGTAAATGGCAATCAAATATCCAGTTTTCCATTGTGCGCAAGCTGGCCGGTTGCCAATTACTCGATCGGATCGATTGGCAATCGCTGCGGAGTGTTCTCCAGCTGAGCCCATAATTCATTTCATTTAGACCACTTTGCATTGACGCTCGAATTACGCAGTTTTGTGTGGTGCGTGGTTTGGGCCTTGAGCGATTAGCTTGCGCTCCATTGACGGCCAAAGTTGCAGCAGCAACTGCAGTTGGTAGCAGTAGCAGTGACCCGTTCAGTTCAGGTGGGGCTTGTTCTGTTCTAAGGTCGAACCGTTCACGGGGAAAAAAATGGACAAAAAGTCAGAAAATTAAACAACATGTCCCAAAATTAACATGAACTGCATGTATTGCCAAAGAAAAAAGGCCTATTCGCCACTGACTTGTTGCCTATTTGGTTCTAATAACATCGATTAACATTCAATGATTTAGAATTGAGCTTAACTTTAATAATTGTAATCATATTAATAGCTCTTTTAAACAATTAAATATATTTGTTCAACAAAATAATATATTTCTCGTTTTTTATACGTAGTTAATAGCCTACATATGTTTAATCAAATAAGTAAGGATTTATTTTAAACAATTTATATTTCAGCAAAGATTTCAACTGAAATTCGATTATGAAAATGTTAATGAGCTTCTTGGTTTCTATTTTTTAAATTCTTCATAACCATACATTTAATACAAGTCATCTAAGTTCGTTATAAGAGTCCTGAATATTTGATTCTATGCAGAGCATTATATATTAGCGGATAAACAAAATTAAATGCTTGAAGATAAACGTAAATACTCGTTTATGAACCTATTTTTGTGTTTTCATACAGATACACTCAGAAAAGTAATCAAAAATCAGGGAGTTTCATTAAAGTAATTATGAGCTCAATAAGACTAAAAAAAATTTACTTGTGACCTTGAATATATGCCCTCGTGTGTCAATATTAAATCCATTATTACTCAGATGTCTCTGATTTTTGCTGGCTTTGTAAAGCTTATTTACTTTTACTTTAATTATCCCCGTTAATCTAAAAAAAATATATATATCATTAATTAATTCATAATTTTCCCAAAAGAAAACTGCATAACTTTCCATTTGCATAGCTTCGGTTCGTTTATTGCAATCTCGTTTCGTATTCTGCGAGTTCTACTCGAGTGCACAGGCTCGGATTAAATAAGAATTGAAACGGGGATTGTAAGTTGGGGATTATAGAGTTTTTATCGCGGTCAAACAGCCTTAAGATTAAAAAGACAAGAAACAAGAAAATGAAAGGCCTCGACAATGTGTGAGTGTAGATGAGGGGACATTGGATCCGTATACGGATACGGATTTGAATCCGTTTCCAATCCGCCGTCCGTGAATTCGTATGTACATATTTCGATAGATGGCTTTCATTTCAACTAATACTACAACTACTATCGACTACGATCGGCCCGTGGCCGGCACTCAACTGGAGGCCACGTGGCAGGAGAAGTTGGTCGCGATGTGTCCATTGTTCGGGAGCGGCAAGAGGTCGGCATTTGTCGTATATCTCAATCCGTTTGCGTTCGATCCGTTGACTTAGTGGTAGCCCAGGTGCGACAGGGCGGGCAGAGCGGGCAGGGCCAGCTTCGGCAGGGCCGGTCCATAGCCATGTCCGTAGGCGGGGGCCAAAGCCGGTCCGTATCCATGGGCCAGGGCGGGACCGTAGGCGGGGGCCAGGGCAGGAGCATAGGCGGGCACCTTGGCCACCAGGGGGGCGGCATGAAGCAGCGGGGCCGGGGCCAGAACCTTGGCCACCGGAGCCACCGCCTTCACCACGGCTCCCTCGCGGTGCACTACTGCGTTGAATCCGTGCACCGGATCGGCGGTGTACTCCACAATACGGCGGGTGCCGTCGGCTTCGATCAGGGAGTAGGCGCCCTGCACCACATCACCGCTGCGGCTCTCCTGCTGGCTCTTCACATCGCCAGTGGATCCATCCTGGGGGTACAATTTAGAAATAAGAAATTAGGAGACCAAGAAACCATATTATTTTGAGAGTTAGTTAATTTCTTAAAGGTTTGCCTTATTTTAAAACAACCAAATCTTTTGGGAAGAAAAAATTACTTTTAAAATTATAATTAAATATTTAATTTAATATTAAAATATTTTCTAATTTTTTTAAATCAAACCATTAAATTTACAATAAGTTTGCCATGAGTATTTATAGAACATTTTTCTTATTTTACAAAAAAGGTTAGATGTTTTATAAAAAAGTGGGATTTAGATTTAGACAGACGTGAGTTTTCATAGAAAACTAAAAAAAAAAAAAAATTGTACACAGAGTTTTGGGCGATCATAAACAGGGTTTTACTATTACTCTCTTAAACATTTTATTAGATAGTTTATGGTTATCTTAAAAAAGTTTTCATAAGTTTTTAAATTTTAAATTCGCCTTACAACTGTTCTGATTAAATCAATAAACACCAAATAAAAATGCAAAAACTCGAAATTATTCATACCAGCTACTTAGGAAAGCAATGGGAGTCTTATGCTGATTAAAGATTTGCATTTTATGAGGTGTCTCAAGAGCAAAGAACTTGTAATTCAAACAATAAGTGACTTGTTTACTTTTTAGAGTTGTCATTGCTGTTTATGTGGTGTCTCAATGAAATTGGAACTGCAATAGAGCACCTTGGTTACGGACAATGGGGTATCTAATTTAAATTTGATATTTGTGAATGCTTTTTATGAGAAGTTTTAAGAGCATAGAACTTTTAAATTTGTCCTTGCTTAATAAGAACTTTTAATTAAAATAAAATACCTAAGTTAAGGACAAATTAAGCACTCATTTCGCAACATGGTAACTCACATGAACGTCGTAGCTGAAGCTGTACTGGGGATTGGGATCGTAGGGCTCGGGGGCGGCCACCTTGGCCACCGCCACCTTCGCCACGGCGGGATACGCGGGATAGCCGAGCGGGGCCAGTCCGGGACCGGGAACGACCACGGCGGAGGACACCGCCACCAGGGCGCTCAGGACGAGGATCAGCTTGTGGGCCATTCTGGATTGCTTGCTTTGGATTTAGATGGAGATATGGAGAACTAGTGAACTGGCGGTTGCTGCTACACGGCTGACAAATGAACTCGATCTGTGGTTCTGTGGCCGTTCGACAATTGCTTTTTATAGGCCTCCCAATAGACGCGAGCCCAAAAATCCGCCACAGCCTCCGCCGCCGCCTGCCACCGCTGGATATTTATGCAAAAAACGCGCAATAAGACACACAAAATAATAAACAACTAAAAAGTGCGCATGCGTGTGGAGTTTATAGCGACTCTGTGTGTTGTGTTGTGTTGTTTCTATGCGAAATACTTGCATCGATCGCGACAAATATAAAATAATTCATTTTTCGCTGCCCATGGCAATCAGAAGGGGGGAGGGGGCGGTGTGCTTATCGAGGGGGGCTACGCATGTCTGGGAGTTTGGGAGGACTGTGCCGGACCAAAGTAAACTGGTCCCACGCCGGCTGACTCGATCGTCGTTCGTCGTGACAAAAAAGTTCAATTCGAAAGCGAATTTTTTGGGTCTAGACCGGGTGGCCGGACGAATCAGGTGTGTGTGGTGTTGTGTGGTGTGTGTGTGTGGTGTGGTCTATGAGTACCTCCCATGTCCCATGTCCAATGTCCCATGTCTCGGCTTTATGGCCACCAGATTGGGGCGAAGCTGCACACGCACCCAGCAGTCGATTGTTGAAAGGTGTGTTTGGGGCACAGCCTTCGAAATTGGCTGGCAGCGCTCCAAGCCGCGCCCACCCAAAAATCTACGCCAGACGCAGTCACTGCACTGTGAAAAATGTCAATTAAATTCTTAATTTTAAAAGGCCACTTTGTTAAGCCAATATCCTTATTTCTTTTTCAAAAACATATGCAAAGTATTCGAAGAATGGTTTAAGCTACACCTTTCTGCTATCTAACTATTTGTAAACAGTCGTAGTATTTAAAAAAAATATTATATTTATATATTTATTATTATTATATATTATATTTTTTTTATTTAAAGTATTATATTTATCATAAAATTAAAACCAACATAAAAATTATTTAAATAAAAAAACTTAGTGAAGCACTTTAAATTATGAAAAATGGATTGCACTTGCTTTATAAATTTAAATGTTCCTTACTAATAATGGTACATTTATCTTTGTATTAATATTAATCAATTTTTTTCAGTGCACAGATTTTGTTCTGTTTCGTCGCTCTGTTGCCATTGGGACAATTTTGCCCATTATCACTAATTTTCAACGCGTACCGCCGCTTGTTAGGCGTTGCAGTCGCTGCTGCAGTTGCAGTTGCAGTTACTGCTGCGATTTCTGCTGCAGTTGCTGTTGCTGTTGCAGTTGCTGCTGCTGCTGCAGTCAGCGCCGGCAGCAACATCTATGGACATGCTCGGGTTGGGGTTTGCGTAATCCAAAAATTGCATCTCGTGCCGATTTTTTACTTTCAATTAAGCTATTGAATAATTTGAGTGCGTGTTGTTGGGCCAGCGAGTGAATGTATTTATTTGGAGTGGAAGAGTTCTTTGGGCGTTGGACAGTTGCGGGGGATATTACCATCTAAGATTGGTGACTTACGTAAGTGGAAATTGGCCTGTGATATGGTTCAGCTTTCTTCTTTTCCTAGGAATTTTGTTACATTTTAAATGACAAAAACAATTTTTAAAAGATTGGTGTAATATTATGTTTTGTTGAACAAATTTGCATTTGACATTTTTAACTACTTATAATAACGAAATATTTTAATGGTAAAACACACTGATTAATTTCAAGTTCAAAACTAAATTGTTTGCATTAATGACACGCATATTTTGATCTTGAAAAAATATCAACTTTATATCTAGTTATTTTGCACTACTTTTTAGTAACTACTAGTATTAATTTAGTTCATTATCATTGACTGAGCTGAGGCCTTGAGCTTGCTGATCAGCTTACTAATTAATAAAATGGATAGGTGTAAATGTAAACTAGTTTTTGGATTTACTTGAGCGAAACACTAAGAGTGATATACTGTATTACACTTTTTATTAATTGTAGGCATTAAACGGTTTTAGACTTGGCGGTTTTTCCAAGTTATGTTTTATAAACTAACTAATAAGCTATATGCAGATGTAAGCAAATCTTAGGTGCATCATTATCTTTGGCTTACTGAATTTATTATTAATGGATATATGAGTGTACAACGGACTAAGGAGCAGACAATAAGTTATGTAAAACCTAGTTAACAAGCAGTGGGTTAAATTCTAAAGCTTCGAGTTCCTAGCCCAGCAGGGGGCCAGCCACTGGAGCCACCAAAGGACGAGGAGCCACCGGAACAGGTCCACGCTGCACCACCGCATTGAATCCATTGATGGGATCGGCGGTGTAGAAAACAGTGCGCAGAGATCCATCAGCATCCACAACGGAGTAGGAACCCTTGACCACATCGCCATCCCGCACCTCCTGCTGGCTCTTACTGTCCCCGGTGATTGCATCCTGGACATTATAGGCGAAGGCGTACTGTGGATGCGGATCCACCTCGGTGTTGAGGGGAACTCCCAATGGAACTGCTCCCGGGAGCAGGGCACACTCAATGGCGGCGATCAAAGCGCAGCAAATTAGGGTGATCTACAGGGAAATTACATAATATTAGCACGGTATTCAAATCTTTACTACCTTTTAAAGCAAGAATTATGATATAAATGATTTATAATACCCTCTTTAAAGATATAGAGGTATCATTCCAATGCGGAGTATTATATTTTCATTTATATCTCCATTATTGATAAAGATATAAAGGAAAATCATATAACATTAGCATAATATTTAAATTTTTACTACCTCCTAAATCAAGCATTCGGATTAATAAATTCATTTTTTATCTTTAAAGATATAAATAAATTATTCCCATGAAGAGGCTGTTATAATATCATTTATATCGTAATTCTTAATAAAGATAAAAAGGTATTCTTTCATAGGATATTATTACTTCTTTATATCACAATCCTTTACAAAGATCCTCTCAACTCACCTTGATCAGGGCCATGACTAGATTTGCAGCTGGATAACTGTTGGTTTTCGTAGTTGGTGTGCTGGTGGCTTGACAATGCTGTCGGAACTGTCTTGGGTTGCCCATGGATCGGGGTTATAAAGGGCCTACCCATTCCCAATCCCACCAAAGACATGCGTCGTGTGGCAACTGCTGCCAAAAACGATTCCATTTGCTGACGTAATGTCCCATTTCGGTACCTGTTCCCCTGCAAAAGGTTTCCCCAATGGACGTGCCAAACAAATAGCGCCCGACTTGCACAATTCTCCCCTCCAATATGAATTGTGATAATCGTAAATATAGTTGACACTACGTGATTGGCATTTAAGATGTAAAGCTTCGAGACTTAGGCTCTTAACCTACCACAACTTTGATTGATTTAGTTTTGCCAGGGAATAAATGGAGCATTTTTAGATACTTTAGACAGTTTGTTAAATTGGAAATCTGAACTTATTAACCCAAGAAAATAAACATTCAAAGCTAGCACTGCACCATATTAAAAGTTTTAAGAATTACTGAATTTTACTTTTGATTCCGATTTGCCAGAAAAAGTTTATGTTTCAACGTAATTATACTCTGTTGAATGGAAAAGTAAATGTTTTATCCTTTAAAAATAAATATAGAAACCTATTACAAGAATTCGTGTGTTCTAAAAACAATTCCATATTAAATGTTTTTTAAATTTGCAAACTTTTGTGCTAAAAAAAAGGAAATTAGGTCATTTATAATATATTTCTAGATGAGAAAATCATTTTAAAGGCATCTCATTTCTAAAACTCTTATAAATTCAGAAGATATTTTAAAGCCCTTCGAAAGGTAAAAAATATTGATACAATTTTAGATGTGTCCCATTAAAGTAATTGTTTAATTTTTTTCGTTCTGTAAGGAATTTTTACGATCCTTTACCCAAAATTAAATGTAATTTTCAATGTTTTTCTTTTGTACCGAAACTTTTATTCAGTAAATGCAGATACTAATTCACTAAGATCCCCAGAACGGTATCCCGTGTCCCTAAACGTAGTCTGTGGTGGCGGTAGTGATGTAGTGTCCAATCGTCCACTTCGATCGGAGATGGAGATGGAGTTGCGAAAAGTGGGTCAACAGCGGGTGGCAACAGCAGGCACGTTTTGGGTTGACTGACAGAAAAGTGGGTTAATGTGGGGGCTTATGTGGTGGTGGTGGTGTGTATAGTAATGCATTAGAACTATTCAACAACGGTCCTACAACTAGGCCAGAGGGTTTGTCATCACTGCTCGGTTCACTGCCCGCAGGGGATTAGTGGTATCCACCTAGACTGAGAGCAGGTGCCGAGGCGTATCCAATCTTGGTGATGGCGGGAACGGCGGCAACGGCCACAGCTGGCTTGGCAATGGCCACCGCGGCCACGCCCTTCTTCTCCACCACGGCATTGAATCCATGGATCTTGTCGGCAGTGTAGGTCACCTTGCGAATGGTGCCATCGGGTTCGGCCAGGGAATAGCTACCATGGACCACTCCGTTGACGAGGGTCTCCTCCTGCTGCTTGGAATCGCCGGTGTGGTGATCGGTTACCCCGTACGAGAAGCTGTACTGCGGATTGGGATCGTAGGGCTCGGCAACGGCCACCTTGGCCACGGCCACCGGAGCAGCCACGAGCTTGGGAGCAGCATACGAGATGGCTGGAGCGGCATACGAGATGGCAGGAGCAGCCAGGAGCTTAGGAGCAGCATACGAGATGGCTGGGGCTGCCAGGAGTTTGGGGGCAGCATACGAGATGGCAGGAGCTGCATACGAAAGTCCAGGCGAAGACAGTCCATAGGGATCTACGGGAATGGCCACCGCCGCGGACAGGATCAGTCCCAAGACGAACAGACTCTGGTGGGGAAGATGAAATCCTTGGTTGAGTGGAGCTCATCAGTCACCCCAGTCAAAAGACAACCAACTCACCTGGGCAAACATGGCTGGCTGAAGGATGTGATGGAGGGAGCTCTGTCTTGGCGGTGTCTGCACTACGAGAACTCAGCTCAAATGTGAGATGCATTTTCCGCCAACTCTTCAGTTTTATATTCGCAGCAGCTACTGGAAAACTGACAAAAAAAAAAACAAAAACAAAAAACTGGACAATCTAATGGGCAGAGTGACAATTGCGTCTCATTTGGCGACGACAGCCCGATCTCGATCTCGATCTTGCACCCCAGACCTCATCGCTGATGGCGGATTTCGTGTTTCTGGTGCGGATTTCATCACGAGCGCTGGCTTTTCTCAATGGAATAGCTGGTGCAGTACCACACACCACTCACCGAAATCCATTTGAGTCCGTTCAAGAGCGCCGCCGCTCCAAGACACCATCAACAACCAACAACCGAACAACCAAACAACCAAACACCACACCAGACTCGTTTTCCGCTGACCAATCTGGTTTCATTTTTTCGCTGTTTTTCGGCACATTCTCAGGTTCTCCTAGCCGAATTTTGGCTGATGTAATAGCTGCTGAATGTTGGGACAGTTGCAATTGCCACAAAAATAGTTATGGTAGCTTTAGGTACTCTTAATAATAATAATAATAAATAATAATAGCTCCGTATTTAACTACAACATCTACAGACTCATACATTAAAACTCCAACATTTTAAATATAATTTGTAAACATTATTTTTTAAAGAGTTTAACCAACATAAACTATATTATTGTTTTAGCATTTAGTTTAGTTTAACAAAAATAATATTTTTAATGGTTATTGTTATTATTTTTTCTGCTTTGATATAAAAAATCTCTTATAGAAGAAAAAAAAAGGAACTTTAAATTATTATTATTTTTCCTATCTTGATAAAAAAAATCTCTAATAGAAAAAAAATCAAAATTAATTTCAAGTTATTGCAAAAAGAACGTGCAAGCCACTACGAAAAACTAATTCTTAAATTAAAGTTACAATTGAACAAGTCACAAAAAAGAATTTTCAATGATATATATAAAAGAGCTTAAAAATAACTACCATAATCATTAAATAACAAAGTTGTATGCCTTCATTTAAGTTATGCAGCTGAGTTATGCAGCTTATTACTCACACGCCATGTTGCCTAAACGAAAGCAAATTTAGGCTGGTTCACGTGTCGTATGAGTAATTTTGTTGTTAGGTAACTTCCATGTGTAAAAAGAAACACCCACTGTTAGAGTATCAAAACGAGATCAATCGTTTTGCTGGCCAGCACTCGTTTAATTAGAAAACAAAAATGGCAAGTTTCGATAGTTTTTTTTTTGGAGGAGGAGGAGGAGGAGGAGGGAATGGGCGGTGCGCAGGCGCAATTACGCACTCGCAAACGCATTAGCCCCTCGCCGATCTAATTTTTCCACTTGAGCTGCAACAGCGCCCACTTAGCCACCGTAATTGCCTGCGATCAGGCCAAAAGGCAACTAGCCGGCATTTGGTAGCTTTTTAACCTTGCCCACAATTGGCAGCTAAGTGGCAGTGGCCAATATTCCGTCTACTTTTAATGATTTCTCATCTGAGAGCAGAATCGGTCGATTGAGCAAGGAACTACTTAAATGGCAGTGGAGCATTCCATTCGCTTTGGCCAAATTGGACGACTTTATACTATATATCCAAGCTGGTTTCCGGTGGCCGGCGATAATCTACGCCGACAACCGTTAATGAAATCCCCCAACCCGATGAATAATCCGGCGATCTGCTGCCAAGTTTTTTGGGGCTCTCTCTCTCTGTTTCTCCGGGTCTCTCTGCACCTCTCCGATGTGAATCCGTAGCCAACAAGTCGCAAGGTCGTTGGTTGCATTCTGCAAAAGAGTCACGAACTCGAAAACCAGCCACCAGTTACAGCACGGAATCGATGGGGAATCTTTAATCAACCAATGAGTTAGGCAAATACCAAAGATTCGATATTTTTTGTAGACTATTTGTTGAGAAAAATTATGAAATTGTTGAAAGCAATAGTCTTTTCAAACCAATTTCTTTCTCTAAAACAAAACCAAATAAACAAACTCAGGCAAGAAGGGACTAAACAAAAATTTATTAAATATAATTTACTTTATCAAATATTATTAATTTCATATTCCATTTATTTGGATTTCTACAGAAAATAAACTGAAATTGATTGTTACGCTTCTTCTTAAAAATATTTAATATCGTAAATAAAAACCCAATACAAGACCTTATCAATCTAATCGATATTCCTGGGCCACATTGACCCAGTTTTACATGATAAAGTGAAACCAAAACCCTTTGTGGAGTCAACCTTATTATGTAGAGGTGGTACCTCATTAGCATTTGTAATTGATACCCAATAAAGTGTACCAGAAACTTTCCAATTTATTAAACGGCCATTCCAATCAAGTTTTTTTTTTGTACAAGGTGATTAATATCTTTAAGTTTTATATTCTTGCAAAGACCTTTTAATAATTTGCAAGTGCCAATGTGTGAACCCTTGTCAACCCGAGTTCAATCAAGTGTCTCAATTAAAGTCTCGCGCTTTTTGGTGTAAAGGAAAATTAAAAGCATTGCCATTGGATGGAACCTGCATGACAATTACCGAAAACTACTGCTCCGAAATATAATCAAATCGCATTCACTTTCGATTCGAGCCGAACAAGGCAAAAAACAGTGGCAAATAAAAATGAAAACTTGGTGTAGCCACCGCCGCGCAAGACGGCAGAAAATTGGAGTACGTGCTGCGAATTTGGATCAAAGCCCGGTCACAGACGCAGACGCAGCCAAAAAAAAAAACATAAAAGCTGGGTAGGAAGAGGCCCCAACAAATGGTGATGATGATGATGGTGATGAGGGGCAAGGAGTTGGGACAATGGGTGGCCCCTTACCATACCATACGCAATTGGTACGCAGTTCCCTCAACTGAGCGCCGCATGCAAATTTCGCGAACGCATCTGGGTATAAAAGTCGTGCTTTTTTTGTCCAAGGCATGTCAGTTCATTTTCGATAACCGACGGTGACAATCGCACTAAACCCCCACCCAAGCCTTACAATGAATCCTTTGACGGTAAGTCAAGACTGGACGATCGCCCTTTGTTCAAGAGATTAACCACGATCCTCTTGCAGGTTGTTGCAGTCCTCTCCTCGATGGCCCTGTCCGCTCAGGCTGGTCTAGTGGGTGCTCCCCTGGCCGCTGCTCCTCTGGGTGCTCCTCTGGCCTACTCCGCCCCTCTGGGAGCTGCTCCCTACTTTGCACCGGCTGCCTACTCCGCCGGCCCACTGGGCTACTCGGCTCCGCTGGGATACAATGCCCCACTGGTGGCTGGACCTGCTCCTCTGGTGGCCAAGACCTACGCCGCTGCTCCCTTCGCCGCTGGACCTTTTGCCGCTCCATTCGCTGCTCCAGTTGCCCCAGTTGCTGCCCGCCTGGCTGCTCCTCTAGCTGCTCCAGTTGCTGCTCCTCTGGCTGCTCCCGTTGCTGCTCCATTGGCTGCTCCAGTTGCTGCTCCTTTGGCTGCCCCAGTTGCTGCTCCTCTGGCTGCTCCAGTTGCTGCCCCCGTTGCCGCTCCCCTGGCTGCCCCCATTGCCACCGAGATTGTGGATGCCCATCCGCAGTACAAGTTCGCTTACGATGTCCAGGACACGCTGACCGGTGACTCCAAGACCCAGGAGGAGACCCGTGATGGTGATATCGTGCGCGGATCCTACTCCCTGATCGAACCCGATGGTTCCCGTCGCATTGTGAGCTACTACGCCGACTCCATCAACGGATTCAACGCAGTGGTGCAGAAGGATGTGCCTGTGGCTGTGGCCCCAGTGGCTCCAGTTCTGGCCAAGACCGTGGCTGCTCCCGTGGTGGCTGCTGCCCCAGTGGCACCTGTGTTCGCCAAGACCCTGGCTGCTCCGATCGTTGCCTAAGGAGGAGGAGCAAAGGAGCTGAGGAAGGATTGACCCCAATTCGACAAAGGACTTTCATCTGTACATATTCGATTAATCATTGTCGAACTCTAAAATAACTTTCATCGCAAAACCCAAAATAAAAAAAATTCTGAAAACAAATTATTGTATTCTTATAATTAATAGAAATAATTAGTTATTTACAGATTGTAAGTTTAAAGTTATAAACTCAAGTTAGGGATAGCACTCGTAGCTAATTTGGCTTTTGACAAATATTCAATAGTTTTACTTTTATTTAAGTTAGAAATTCCTGAGATTTTTATTCTTTTAAACATTCCTAAGGATCTTAAGATCTTTACAATGTCTATACAATTATGGATTTATTGATTAGTTTTATAGAAGATTTTCTAATAAATGTATTTTGGTTTTTTTCGTAACATTTTCAGAGACTTGGATGAGGAGTTCTGGAAACTATCGCCACATGAGAACGTGGCCCGAATGCGTCTGAAGTTGGAGCCCCAATTATATCCAAATAAACACGAGAATGCAGCCAATCTGCGCGACAATGCGACCAGTGCTTATGACACCAAGTAAGCCTTTACAAACCTTAAAAAGAATACTCTTATATAAACCTATAACTATTTAAACCCCAGGGAAATCTCTGAATTTGACTCCACCATCAAGAATGCTGTGGTGCGTGATTTCCTGGCGGACGACGAGAGTTCGCAATTGGAGGAGGAACTGCGTCAACTGATCGACACGCAGGCGCAGCAGGATGTGGCCCTGGAGAAGCTAGTCATGTCACAGGACTGTGAGCTGATCACGCTGATGACAAAAGTTAAGGGACGCATTGAGGTCAACCAGAGTGTGTTCACCTTTGTGGATTTGAGTCCACCAACGGACGATGGAGCCAAACACGACTTTAGGTTCTCCACCAACAAGATACGCGAAGTGCATCTGAGGAAGTATAACCTGCGCCGGAGTGCTCTGGAAATCTTTCTGGTGGATCAGACCAGCTATTTCCTTAACTTCACCACAAAGGTGGGTTCCTTAGCTTAGTAAAATATTTAATAAATAAAAATAATTGTTTATTTGTAGACTCGCAACAAAGTCTTTACCAAAATTGTGGGTCTGCCGCTGCCAAATATTCTCTATGGCTCGGGAAGATCGCCGGCTGAGCTGCTGAGAGCCTCGGGACTTACCCAGAGATGGATCAATCGCGAAATATCCAATTTCGAATACTTGATGTACCTAAATACTATCGCAGGTAAGGAAAAAACACTTGTCTTTTAAACTAAGTTTTAAAAACGATTTCTTTAACTATTCGCAGGTCGATCCTATAACGATTTAAGCCAGTACCCCGTCTTTCCCTGGATCCTAGCTGACTACACCAGTGACGTCTTGGACTTAACAGATCCCAAATCATTCCGTGACCTATCCAAACCCATTGGATGTGTAAGTTTTACTTTTACTTTTTTAATAAATAAAAGAAGAATTTAATAGTATGATTAACCCCCATAGATAAACCCCAAAAACGAGGCCGAAGTGCGAGGCAAATACGATTCCTTTGAGGATCCCTCCGGTGCCATACCCAAGTTCCACTATGGAACCCACTACTCCAATTCGGCGGGCGTGCTCCACTATTTGCTGCGCGTGGAACCGTTTACCTCGCTGCACATTGAACTGCAAAGCGGTCGCTTCGATGTGGCCGATCGACAATTCCACTCGATACCACAGACGTGGAAGCTGCTAATGGACAATCCCAACGATGTCAAGGAGCTGATACCCGAGTTCTTCTACTTTCCAGAGTTCCTCAAAAACATGAACAAGTTAGATAGACTTTAGCACTCTTATGTCAGTGTGTTTAATTCAAATTTTCAATGCAGATTTGACTTGGGCCATCTGCAAATAACCAAAGAAAAGGTGGACGATGTCATACTGCCCGCCTGGGCCAACACTCCGGAGGAGTTCATTGCCATACACCGGCGGGCCCTGGAGTCGGAGTATGTGAGCCAGCACCTGCACCACTGGATCGACCTGATCTTTGGATACAAACAGAAGGGACCCAAGGCAGCCGAGGCCTTGAACGTCTTCTACTATTGCTCTTATGAGGGCGCCGTGGATCTGGACAAGATCACCAATCCTGTGGAACGGGAGGCGGTTGAAGGTGGGTTCATTTAAGGGGTTTTTCTACATACATTAAATACATTTTAGTAATTTTTTTTATTAAAAAAAATTAAATATATATCTTAAAGAAGATCTGCATAGCCATTTTCCATTCTTTAATTTTGTTTTGCAGTGACCAATAATAAATGGTTAAATAGTTTTTTTTTAGTAGTTAAAAAAAAAAATTTTAAAAAATAAAGATTACATTTTTATGTATTAATAAGTTTACTATGTATCTTGGTCAGCGATTCATCTTCAAACTTTAAGGATGTGTCATTAAATAGTTATAATACCAAATAATTTCAAACTCACAAGTGAATATAAACCCCGTATGAAAGTTTTATAAACATTAACTCACGATTTCTTCTATTTTATCTAGGAATGATCAACAACTTTGGCCAGGTGCCTTCGCAGTTGCTTCGAGAGCCACATCCACGTCGTCTCACGCAGGATGAAACCGCTTTGAAGCTGGTGCGTGCCGAGCTGCGGAGGCCGGATCTCACCCAGTTCCTGGACAAGGTGGTGCAGTACGACTGCGAGCTATCCACGCCCAAGGATCCCATCGTGTACCTGAGTCCCCCACGCAGTCCTCCACGCTCCTTCCTCCAGCTGAGTCCCGATGTTCTAGTCAGTGTGTCCAAATCCAGCATTCTGGGCTGCAATTCTTGGCTGTCGTTTGATAAGGATCACGGATTCCTACTGGAAATCGATGCCACTACAGCCAATCTAAAGTAATATATTCTTTTAAAATTAATATTTAGATTAATCTACATTTGTTAGATTTTTTTTAAAGGAACCGAAAGCGGGTGTTTGGACCCTTCCACTCCTCTCAGCCGCCGCACTCACAACTCTTTGCCGTGAGCACGGATGGCAAGCTGCTGTATGCCGGTGGAATCTGGGATAATTCCCTGAGGGTGTACAATCTGAACAAGGGCAAGGCGGTGGCTTCGGTTACCCGTCACTTGGACATCATCACCTGCATAGCGTTGGACAATTGTGGCTCATATTTGGTCACTGGATCCCGTGACTGCACCTGTATTGTGTGGAGCATCCAGTCACAGCAACAGGGTGGCGGTGGCTCCACCAGCAACATTCCAGTTCATGCCTTGACTGGTCAGTCGCATCTGCAGGCAATTACCCAGCTGAACACCCAGAACCACTACTCACCCAAGCCGTTGACGGTGCTTTATGGACATGACGATGCCATCTCCAGTGTGGCTATCTACACGGAGCTGGATCTGGTGGTCTCTGGATCGCTGGTAAGGATCAGTAGCTTCTATAGAAGGAATATCTATTTATGATCTACATGTTATTTCGTTTAGGATGGCACTGTCAATGTGTATACCCTACAAGAGGGTCAATTTGTAAGGACACTCAAGCCCATTGGATGCACGGAGTCCTGCGTACAAATCTCTTTTGTTACCCTTTCCTATCATGGTAAGTTTGAGGTTATTATAATACATAGTTACTGCCTTGCTTTATGCTTAAACTTTGATGGTATTCCCTTTGTTCATCACATTGCAAAAAATCTTCGTTCAAACAGTTTGAGAGACACTGCTGACATCGCCTAAAAGTATGCCTCAAAATATTTAAAATGTTAAACAGATAGTTTTAGGCATTCACCATACGAGTCCAGCTCTTTTAATATAAATTAGTCATGTTAAAAATTTATATTTGTCTATATGTCATTGCATTACCAGTCACATTTAATGCAAATTTGTTTAACTTTAAAGATTTAATTGATCTTTAAAATGTTACAAAATATGTAAATTCAAAATCGAATCCATTCATATGTTTTTTAAAGGTTAGGCTACCATATATGTTATATTAAACTTCTATATTATAGATCGTTCAAATTCCTGTGTACATTTAAATTTAAAAGTTTATGCAGTTAAACTCAAATCTCTCGCATTCTTAAATTCCAAATACCTGGCATGCACTTTCAAAAAGGTCTCCCAAATAGCTATTTTATAAAATAAATATTGTAAAAACCCGATTAAATTCCCCAGCTATTAATCATTGTCATTCCTGTGAAATTTTTAATCAATTTAGGTACTTGAAACCCTCTCAAAAATCTTAATTGACTCAGTGAAGTATTATCGATATCAATATTGTCTGGGGGACTATCTTTAAATTGATTAGGCCAATGAAATGGATCTTGGTTCTCTGACTCACAAGACGGCTCGCTGTTGGTGACCACATTTTGCCCACCTGTAAGCTATAATCTCCGTAAATCAACTCTCTTTCCTGTCCACTCATGGTGCCCCTAATCTTCCGATGAGGCGGCGGCGGCGGCACACTCACGTGCTACTGCGTAGCATTCCCATATTATGTTTGAAGAGGGCGGCAATCAAACAATTTAATCAGCCCTCCCTGCTATCGGCAATTGCCACATAAGTGAGCCAGAGGCAGAGGCAGTGCGACGAGAATCACGTGATTGTGTGGCCATGTGCGTCGCCCCCTTCGGCAGACTACTAGAATACTATATGGTATAGTATGTCCGACTTTGCCCCCATGCACTGCGCGGCTATAGCCATGTATATCTTATCGGGCGGTGCAGTCAGCTAACGCGACAGGCCGTTAATCCAAATTAAAGCGTGCCTAAGGCACTGAAAGATCATAAAGTATACACACCCCCGCAAGGTTAAGACTTTGTCCGCTTGTCGGCACACTAAATGAACGCCTTTGGAATTCCCCAATCCCAATGCCCATTCCTCATAGCAACACTGTCAAGGTATCATTATCATACAAAATCAGGGTCTTTTGATTTTGCAAAAATAAATATACAAAAAAAAACCATAATATATCGCCACCGATGATGGTACGTGCCCGATAACGGAATATAATAATTGCGCACTTGCACCGACTTAAATCAATATATTTACAATTATGTTATGCCAACGATCCATTGGCCGTAATTAACATGCCCATGATTATTGACCCATTATGATGGTTTTTAGAAAAGATTTCATAAGTCACTTGCCGATTAGCATGGG